CAGAGCACAGCCCCACCCACCCACCCTGGGACCCCCATAAATGATGCCCCAAGCACCTGAAGGTCCCCGGGGGGTCCCTTTATGCAGAGTGCTAAGTGGGACGTTTTTACAAAAGCCATAGAACCAGATTGTTTCCTTGACAAACTGTCAACCATAGCCCTCATGAAGAGCTCAAATACACATCTTCAAAGTTAACTGTGTTCTTGGGTACATTTTGTTCTGTAAACCAAATCTTGGCTCCCTTTGTGGGCAGGGGACAGCTCTGCCTTCACCTGGCTGAGATTAGGGCTGTCATCAATGTCACCATGGACAGCAGCTGTGGGGAATGAGGAGTTGGCATCAGGTTCCTGCTCTGGAGATTTTCCAGCACAAATCCAGGGGCCTCACCATTCACAGGTGCGCAGACCAGTGGCTGGGCCTGCTGGCCTTGTGCACAGGTGCCCACACTGCCAGGTGTGGTGGCAGAGCCACTGGAGCAGTGCCATCCTGCCAGGAGCTGCAGGGGAGAGGACAGGAGCCTCCTTGGCATCCTTGACCTCCCAAGAGGTGCTCTTCAGCCCCTTGGTGCTGCCACCTTGTGCATCCTCAGTGCTGTGCCAGTCCCTGGCTGGCTCCCGGTGTTAAGACAATGCAGGTGACGTCAAGAGCCTGGCATCTCACTGTGAAGGCTCTTGGACCAGCAGCCTGGAGTCAGGCAGCCCACAATGTATTCCTTGGAGCACAGATGTTTCTCAGCCAAGGTATGCTGTCCCACAGATGCAACCCACTCTCTGGGATGCCAGGGTTGGTGGGCGATCTCATCACACGGGCAGGGGGAGAAGCCCAGGTTTGTGATGGGGCTCTGGGCTGGACCTGGGAACCCTGGGCACGCAGGCTTCCTGGCACAGGCGCTGTCCTCTGGAGGCACTGGAGCACTCAGCCCCATGGGAGCAGGGCCATCACCACCACCACCTCACCTCGCAGCACTGCCGGTCAGCGAGAGGCTTCCTGCCAGGCAGAAGTAATGCTGCAGGAGGCAAGGCAGAGATCCAGGAGTTGTCCTGGGCTGGAACTCATTCCTTTGCTGAAGTGACACTGATTCAGCCAGGTGACATGCACTGGGGGCTTAAAGCTTTGTCTCCTGCCATGGCAGAGCAAGACCCTCCCATCACCATCTGCCCAGAGCAGCAGCTCTCAGAGATTGGATGTAGGCTGCTGTGAAACCAGTTTTACATCTATTTATATCATGGATGACTTTATTTCCATGCTGGTGCTGAGGATACAAGGATGACATGTCCCTCTTCCTGGGCTTTTTAGCCTGGGTCATGTGGTGAGTGCAGTTCACTGGCTGCTTGGCACCAGACTGGTCCCCTCTGGCTACAACGCAGTTCCCTTGCTCTACAGGAGAAAGCAGGGTTGGGCATGTAGGCATGCAAAAAACTCAGTCCCCAGCACCACAAAAAAATGTTTTTAAAAGGAAAAGAATGGTTATTTGCCTTTGGTCAATCTACTTAGTTGGCCAAGGGAGGGACAGAAAACTTGACATCTGGGCAGAAAAATGCACAGCACGGCAGTCACCAGGGCCACAGCAGACAACCTGATGAGCAGGGATCAGCATCAAGGGCACCAGCCAAGCACAGCCCATCACTGCACAGCCTCGGGCTGATCTGGCCTCTGCAATGCCTTCCCCAGCTGGTCGTCTACCTGTCTGGGCTCCCTCCAGTTGGGCCCTGCCTGTCCTTCGGGGCTCCAGGGTTGAACTAAGCCACCCTCTACCCCCACCTTTCCCTTCTGTCACGCCTGTGGGCCCAAGGGTGCCACAGGAAGCCAGGTGCTCAGCCTTTCCCCACCTAGCCACTTGTCCCAGATCAGGAGTGGGATTTCACCCGACTCCCTAAGGAGACCCCCAGCCCTTTGGCGATGATCTCTTACTACACACTCTAATGCCCCTAAAGGGCCAGGGTGAGTCTCAGCCCCAACTTGGTGCTCGTCAGCCTGGTGTGGCTGTCCTTCCCTGTCCTTTTCCACCCGCATTAAAACAGGCAGGAGGGCCGGAGATTTAGCTCAGTGGCACCACACCTGAGTTCAATTTCCGGTACCCCCCGCAAAAAAAGCTGGCAGGAATCGCGTCTGTCTTTTGGCTAAGATCAAGTGTAAGACTGTCAGGAAGCAGAAGCCAGCCTGCCGTGCCCAGGATTGGACTCGTCAGCCAGTGCTCAGGAAGCCCCCAAAGCCAAGTGTGACACTGTCATGTGAGGCCCAGACTCCCTGCCACCTGGCTGACAGCCACATTCCATCCACCCTGAGACCCAGGTCAATCCTTCCACATAACCTCCCCCGAGCAGTGCCCCCTGCTGCTGTGAGGCTAGTCTTCCCCTTCCTCGAAACACTTGCGCTGGAAATGGCTCCTGGTCATCAGTCATTTAACAGGTGAAACCCTCACGGCTTTGCGTGACTGATTGTAGGGAGGCAGACACCTTCTAATACACTTTTTACCTTTTATTTCCATCATCATCATCCACTTTAAAAGATAAGATTCCTGCTCATCTCCCATATGGGTTGTTGTCACTGCAAAAATCGCAACACTGCAAGTGGGTTCCCAAAAGTGGTGCACAACCCACCCTGCCTTCAATCAGAGGAGCGTCCAGGGGCTTCCAGAAAGCAAGGGTCTCGGGAACACTCGGCACTTGGTCCACTCCACATGTGGCTGGCAGGGCACTGGGCAGGCGCTCATCTAACACACATCCAAGGGGAAAGTTATTTGAGCCATACAAAGCTGACTGCTTTGTTCCCTTTGGGAACCATCTTGTCAGAAAAATCCTCATCCCAAACGGGGAGAAAATATGTCTAAATCTGATAGATCCCAGCAGTGCGTTCCTAGGACAGCAGTCTAAAAATGTTCATTCAAAATTATAAGCTGCTGGACTGGGGATTTAGCTCAGTGGTGCCACTGCCTGCCTCGAAAGCGCAAAGGTCCCAAAGTTCAATCCCCAGTACCAAAAAATAAAAATAAAAACTGTAAGCTGTTTTGGTTAGCTTTAAAACTTTCACATTTAATAAAAGACTGTGTGAAGCATTCTGGATGCATATGAAATCTGAACCTCAACCTTGAATTTCAAGTGCATATTCTACCAACTATGCAGAAAGCATCAGCATTTCAGGAGAAAGGCCCATGGCACATCTTTATACCCCACAGCAGCTGGAATGAAGACCTAAGGTACAACTGTGGTGGTTCGGGTTGGGGGACAGCGGCTCCAGTATAGCTAGCATCACAGGTGGGACAACAGGATTTCCACAGCAGGTGGGGGAGAAAGCTAGGCACAAGGCTGTGAGACTGGAAGGGGGGCAGCCAGGTCTGCGTGCCCCTACCTGCACCCCACCCCCGGAAACCTTCCCCAGGGCCACCAGGCCTTCAGATCAGAGAGCCAGCTCCCCATTGCTGGGTGGGAATCCAAGCAGGCAGGCAGAGTGAGGGGCACAGAAGCTGGGACAGATGGGAAGAGCAGGGCTGGACCAGAGGGTTTGCCCAAGCAAACCTCTCATCCCTGTGGGGTACCCTGCCTGCCTCTCCTACTGTGAGGAGGAAGTATGCACGAGCAGCATCAGAGGACAGCAAGAAGAAAAGACCTGTGCTGCACTTTTCATGACAGAATTTATGCGCAGAAATGTACTTATTCCTGTTCACAGCTCAGTTGGTTGCTGACTTTATATTTTCTACATAGGATAAGTACTCTGCAATGATGATTTCCTCATCTTCCAGAGTAGAGTCGAGATAATCTTCCTCATGCTCAGGAATGTCTTCCAGGATCTCATTGACAGCCTCTGTCTCTATGTCCTCATCTGTCGAGGCACTGGAGGTCCCTACAGGGAACACGGCAGGGGTGAGTGGGTTACCAAGGACAACTGTCCCAGGGACATCAGGGTCCTGCCAGCTCCAGCTCCTGCGGGCTTACCTGCAGAGTCTGAAGGGGACATGGACGGTGTGGACGAGGAGTCCTCCTCCGACAGCTGCAGGTCAGGAGGGAGGCTGCCGCCATGGTGAGCGAGGGTCTGTGCTGCCAGCTGAACGCTGCCCCTGAACACTCTCAGTGCAGCTTCAGCCACTGCCGAGTCAAAGCCCATGTACACCAGCTAGGGCAGAGCACAGGGGGATGACTGTCACCACAGGGCACAGTGAGGACGGCCTTCTCTTATAAACAACTCCAGCACACACACCACTTGCCCTTCCTGACAATTCACCCCTTAGCCTCTACATGTAGAAGGCCTCCAGGAAAGGCTGAGTGTTCATCTTGGGATGAGCCACCTCAGGCTAAGTGTGATCACGCTCACCAGGAGCACCATGAGTTAAATGGTCACCGTATGCTACACAACAATGGGGGCACCAGGCATGCAGCCATCACTGGCACACAGGAGCTGGGTTTCCATGGTAGAGATGGGGCTGAGAGAAACAAGATGCTCTCTGCATTTTCCAGTCCCCCCTAAGGAAATGCCTCCTGCTTGTGGGGTGCAAACTCACCTGGACCCTGGCCACCCAGGCCTCCCCAGCCGGTCGAGGGAGGCTGCACTCACTTGGTCAATGCCCTCCTGGGAAGGACTCTCGCGGCAGCTGCTGGGGTCGGGAGTCGTGTCATTCAGCCACCACATATGAGGGTTACTGAGGAGGATCTGCAAGTGTGGGGGCCCTGTTACTCTTCACGACTGCCCACACCCACAACCCTGGCCACAACCCTGACCTGGCTATTTGAAGGTCAGAAAGTCAAGTACAGGGCCCGTTGGGGCCAAGACAGGGTCCCCCACCCTGCTGGGCGGTGTTCACAGGAGCCACAAGTCACGGAAGAACCAAAGGGGAAGGGGAAGTAGGGGAAGGAGAAGCTGGACTTCCAGTGTGAACAGCACTACGTCCCCAGCCAGGAGGCCTTGGCCTGAGCTGGAGCCAAGGTATTGCTCTTGCTCTGCCACTTGGCTGGAGGCCCACAGCAGTGCACACCAGGAATCAGGGAAACGGCCGGGAGGAGGGGCCAGCAGGGTGCATCACCTTCAGTGCTTCGTCCAGGTTCCCACCAGCCTGATGCAGGGCCTGCCTGGCAGCACGTGCGGAGTAGCCCATGCCTTTCAAAGAGTTGATGTTCTCCATGCGGCGCCGCTTCTTCTCCCTCTCTTCTTGCCTCATCTGGGCCAGCTCCTTCAGGAAAAAAGCAAGGCCCACCAGGTTAGAGGTCAAGATTTTACAGCCGGCTTCCAGTCACCAGGCAGGCTGAACAGAGGGAAGGATGCCTCTGTCCCAGCCCCTCCAGTCCTGCGGCAGGAGGAGTCCTGGGCAACTAGGGTAAATAAAGCCTCAGCCCAGGCAGGAAGGGGCGCCTCCATAAGCCCCACAGTGCAACATCAGAATCCAGCCAGCACCATGGCCAGAGGCTGCAGGGAAGAGGCGGGGGACCGCTCCAGAACTAGGGCCGAAGAGCTTTCTGCACAGGGACCATGTCCCAGCCTGTGAGGAGCTGCCCAGGTTCATGTGAATCAGCTGATGCCATAATGCTGACTCCCAGCAAACCTGAGGTGGCAAGGCTCCGTTCCATGGAATGCTTGAAGGGACAAAAGCCATTTAATCCCATGGTACAGAAGATGCTGCTTCTAACAAGTGTCTGAGCTGGCTGCTTGTCTCTTGCCTTCTCCTGCCCAGACTGGAAGAAGTGTGTATTTACAAATGGAAACACCCATAGAAGTGTCATTTTTAGCTGCTCAAATAAATGGGTTGTGGCTGGGATGTAGCTCAGTGGTACAGCACCTGCCTCACATGGGGTGGTTTCAATCCCTAGCACTGGAAAAAAAAAGTTCAAAACCCCCACAAATTTGAAAACTAATTTAATCCAATCTCATTTTCCAATGAGACAAATTTTCCCAGAAAGCTAAATGACTGGGCCCTGGTTGCACGACACAGAGCAGCAGTGAGCAGAGGGGATAGTGGCCTATGCTGCTGTTTCTGGGTACCTGGCCCCTGGTACCCCTCATTTCTTCCTACAGTAGGAAAAGGCCTACATCTCTTAGGAGATGAAAGCAAACACCATGTTAGCACTGTAAAAACTCCCACAGGGTTGGCAGGAGAACTACTAGGCAGATTCAATGAGTGAAGGCATCCATAGCCCAACTTGTTTCTACCACCAGGGACTTGCTGATGCACTCCCAGAACATGTGAGGCACCTGCCTCTCCGGGAAAACCCACCACAAAACAGGGACTCTAAGCCTTGCCTGACCCCAGCCAGCACCACACTGGAGGCTCCAGCAGCTCCTCCTGCAATGACAGATGTCTATGTCTATTTTCTTTCAACCTCATAGATACATGGGAGGAAAAGTGCTTTGGACACTTCTCTTTGTACTAGCAAGAGTTACACCAAATGACGCTGCAAATAATGTTTCAGAGCACTGCACTGGAACATCTGCATAAAGTAGAGACCGTCTTGCTGTGTGAGTGGACTCTCAAGTCAAACTGAAGGCGAGGCCTGGACAAGGCAGGCATCAGGGCCTTCTGAGAAGGTGAGCAACTACAGCTCACAGCCAAAGTGCCGCAGCACGGTATGCCACACCCATTTCCTCTGCCATACTCAGGGCCCTGTGCACAAGAATTACCTGTTCCATTCAGCTCTGTGGACGTTCATACTGAGAGTCTCGGGAACTGAGGTGTCTGTGTTGTGATTCCTAGAGCTTAATTTGTAAATATACATATAAATCCACTGTACTTTTTTGGCATTTAAGGGGACAAAACCCAGGGCCTGGTCAATGCTAAGCAAGCACTCTATCATTGAGCTACATTCCCAGCTTTTATTTTTATTTTTTCTTTTTAACATACATAGTTTCACTAGGTTGCCCAGACTGGTCTCAAGTTTGTGATCCTCCTGCCCAGTCACCTGGGTAGCTGGGGGTTAAGGTGTACACCACCATACCAGCTCTCCTCTCTATATATACATATTTCAATTTTATTTTATTCCATTCCCCTTCTCAAGCCCTCTCCCTTCCCTATGTCCAAAAGCTTTGCTTCCATTTTTTCCTTCTATTTTCACTTTTTTTCTTCTCCCTTTCTTCCTTTCTCTCTCCCTCCTTTGTTCCCTTTCACATTTGAATATTTTCTTCCTGTTTCCTAACATCCACTATACGTTTCTGTCCTTATTTCCACTTTTGGTTTCTCACACCAGAGAAACAATGCAGTATTTAAACAGGTATGTCTGATTTATTTCACTTAAGAGTATGGTCTCAAGGTCCATCCAGTTAGCTATACATGTCTCAAAGCTCATCCTTTAAGGCTGAGTAGTACTCTGCTAAAAAATTGTTTTTTCATAATGTAATGATCCTTCTTCCTATAGTTTGACTAATGTTTCTAGGCAAGAATGTAAGTCCAGGGCCAGGGATTTAGCTCAGTAATTCTGCTACCTGCCTAGCAAGTGCAAGGTCCCGAGTTTGATCCCCAGCACAAAAGAAAAAAAAAAAATGAATGTAAATCCAGAGCATTTCCATGCAATGGCCCCATGGAACAACCCAGCCTCCTTTAGAATGGTTTCCAGAAATACACTGTGGTATCAAGACAGCAAGAAAGAGTGAGAGAAGATTGCCTGTCCGACCTCCACTGTGCAAGAAGCTATACTCCCTGGAAACTAATGTAATTAAAAGACACATTACTGGGCTGGGGATTTAGCTCAGTGGCACCACAACTGTCTCACAAGCGCAAGGTCCAGTTCGATCCACAGTACCGCCAAAAAAAAACAAAACAAAAACAAAAACAAAAAAATTACTCTTTCCTTTCTGATATGGAGTGACAATGCCTTGCTACTGACACCTCTCATGGGTTTATCTTTTGTGTTCTTTCATACCCAAGAAAGCTTGGCATTTCGGAAACACACATGCTATGCCTCTCGTTTCACAACCTCTCAGAGCACAGATGTGGGGTACATGAAGAGCTACCTCTCTTCGGTTGGAGATGTGAATGGCTGCATGGTCCACGTTGCCATCACAGGCGCGCAGGGCGAGCCGGGCTTCCTGAGGTGTGAACCCCAGCTGCATCAGGCTGTGCACTTTTGAGGGGTCGATATGCAACTCTTTGAAGAGCAGTCGTGCCTACAGAGAGGGAGAAACTAAGAATCAGGTGGCTGGAACAACGCTAGAATGTAACAGAAGGCAGAAAGCCTAAAAGAACTAGCATGAACCCAATGTGAATTACAGCTTATTGGGTTTCAGACCAAAACTCAACATCTAATTTATTACCAATATGAACAGAAAGACCAGAACTCTGCTTCCACAGCTTACCTACAACACAACCTGAGCGAACATGCTGGGAGTTTTGGACATGACTGGGACCCATTATCCCCATCTGTGTGGTAAAACTCCCTGGACCTGAGCTGCACATGCAGCATTCCTCACCCTCCCTTACAGCTAGGTGAGCTCAGGCAGCCAAGGCTAGGTGACTGGCACGTAGCTAAGACAGGTGCACTTCCACTGTCCCCCACATGCTCCAGACCCTTTTGCTGGTGGCAGAGGCACTGACAAGCAGGTCAGCCAAGGGAGCTGCCCCTCTGGCCTGGCCTGTCGCCTCTTGCGAGCTATGCAATTAAAGTCACTATCTTTTTCAAGCGTTCTCATTATAGCACCCTGCCTGGACCCTAACAAATACAAGTGTGTCCATGCTACCCAAGAGGGAGAACAGGCATGGAGAAGCATGGTTCCAACAAGTCAGCAACTGCTGAATTTATACAACACTCACTTCTGGGGAGCAGGAAAAAAGCCAGTGAAAATGGTCACCATGTGCTCTTCTTACCTTATTGAGATACTCATGGGCCTCTTCTCCATTTCCACTGTGATAGTTTCGGATCCCTTGAAGCAAGTAAAGTCTTAAAAACAACACTTTCTCTTTCCCACAATTTCCCTAAAGTTATCAGGGAAAAAAGGATAAAACTGTCTTATTTCTAATTGTAGGTACATAATGTTCACATCCCTCTACCTCCTTAGGGGCAGATGGTAGCACTAACTGTGTAACATCACTACTGCTGATGGCAAAAGCAGAGACCCTAGAGCACATGGGGGAAGATAGGGTCAGGACACCTGTATCCAGATGCTTGGCCCTTCTGGTCTATTGGAAGAACGCAAAGCTTCACAGCAGGCAGAAGGTGTTCCACATAAGGGAGACTCCGAGGACTTGTGGGAACAGAAAGATGCTAATCTGACTTACAGCTCTGGAGCTGCATGCGACTCAAGTCACCTGTCAGTATTCAGATACCTGTTTTCTGCATCTATACCTTGCATTACATGTGAATGAATGTAAGAAGTCACTGTTTCCTGTCCAGAGAGCTTGAAAGTGGGGGTCTAGGCTTAGAAAACTGTTCCTCTGAGCTCAGTACATACCAAAGAAACAGCCAGGCAGCTAACACACTGAGTACTTTGTAAAATACAGATCTGAAAAATCATATTGCATGCTACTACCAGGATAAAATCATCTCTGAATCAGCCTAAAGACATTCATGGGAATAAACATAAATTTTAGAAACAGATCTAATAATACAGAAATTAAAGTAACATACTTTTATGTGGACCAGTCGCTGATGATTTTCTCCATAACAATTTTTCAAGCATTTTTGCGCCAAATTGAGCTTTTTTTCTGCATCATCAAGGCATTCCAGTTGCTCTAAGCTGAAGTAGCACCACACGATGTCCAGCTGGAGCACGGCATAGTTATCCACGATGTCCAACAGCTCTCGACTGCACTCACTGAAAGGAAAGGGGACCATGTCACTGCTGAGTTATAAGAGCTTTTTCAAGTGAATTCCTAGCATTCTTTCCCAGTTCTTGGCGTATTTTCAAAGACTGTTTGAAAACAGAGATCCCAATGCTTATGATGGGAGTTCATTTATAATCTGAACGCTTCCAGGATACACAAAGGCGTGCGCACGTGAGCATATGCATGCGTGCACACACACACACGCATGCCCCTTTCTAGGCTTGAAAGAGGCCTAGCAGGAAGTAGACTTCAGCCATGGGAGCTACCCCTCTGGCCTGAGCTGTTGCCATTATATCAATGCCCCACTGTACACATCAGTGACCAAAGTTTAACAGAGTGCCTTGCGCCCCTGACTGAAGATCAGAATTGCTTAGACATAAGGACTCTCAATCTCTCTCTTCTTCCTTTCTCCTAGATTTACTGATGTAGGAACCCCCACCCAGACCAACGAAAGTCTCTAGGAATGGTGGCTGGATGTTCTACTGTATTTCTAACTTGCCCAGGTGACTCCAACATAGAGGAAATGCTAAGAGCCATCCCAAATCATCACATCTTAAGAGCACCTTGATTGCTCTGTGCCAGGGTACTCACATTCAGTCACATATAGGCTGGGAGGAAGCACAACCAAAAAACACCAGGCCCTGAAGTCTAACTGTGTTCTGAAGGACCATGTCCAGACAAAAGGGTCCTCTGCAGCTGGGCCTCTGGGCTGGACCCAGGCACAGAAGACAGACAGACCAGACAATAAGCAGAACATGGAGGAAGACAGCCATCAGGGTTACCTCTTTGGACTTTAGCTGTGATTGCACTAACATTTATAATAGAAATGTAGATCTCAGGCCTTCAGTAAGAAAGAAAACATGGAACCATGCAGTGAAATGTTTTCTGCTTTCATCGGGATTCTACTAAAATAAGACTGTTCATACATGAAATGAAATGCACATCCTCAAACTCCTGTCCTGAATGTCAACGTATGTTCAGCAAGAAGAGAAATCAAATGGAATCTCATTTTGTCATTTACCCTTTAAAACAGTGGTCTCTGAGGGCAGAACCTGCTTATAATCTAATCCAGCGGGGGCAATAAAAACATGTTAGAATAGTATTTTTACATTTATTTATCGCTTCTTCTTTTAATGTTTCCTTTGTGTCCAGGGCTGGGGATTTAGCTCAGTGGTTTTGCCACCAACCAGACTTGCAAGGACAAGGACCCCAGTTCGATCCCCAGTACCCAAAAAAAAATTTTTTTAAGGGTCAGGGATGTAACTCAGTGGGTCCACTGCCTGCCTCCTTTGTTTCCATTTGGTAACGTGTACACCATATTTTGCACACACATAGATGCAGGGCTGGGTGAAGAACACTTTCCTAAAATCTGCTGCTCAGCCTGAGAACCCAATTTTGAGAGGAGGGAAAGGATTCTATGAACTGTAGTCTAATCTTACACTCCAGGGGAGAATTTCTGATCTTGTCTGTAACATGTTCAGGTTTCTGTGCAGAGATGGTCCTGCCATTCATGGGAGCAGAAGACATTTTGCCACACTTTTCAGTTTCTCACATGTGTGAACGGGCTTTCATGTTTAATAAACATTAAGAATAGAAACAGCCTCCCTTCAGCTGAAAATAAAGTTGACATGTCCTCAAGTGTGACCCAAAATTGAATGAATATGCAGCAAAAAACCCAAAATACATCAAAGCACAGGTCTCCTATTACAGGGGTATATTTTATTCTGAGTTTCAAGAAATCTTCATCTGCACATTGTAATTTTTTTTATGTGTGTTTGTGTTTTTGTTTTTCTTTGTGGTACCAGGGATCGAACTTGGGACCTTCTGCTTGCAAGGCAGGTGGCAGAACCACTGAGCTAAATCTCTGGTAATTTTGAAACTGTTATTTTTGAACCTGATCATTTCAGTTAGAAAAAATAAAGGTTTTTAGAAATCTAGTATAAAATTGCATTTTAGAGTATATTGTTGTTATTACTTTGGCTTATAATTTTAGTTTTTTTGTTTGTTTGTTTTGTTTTTTTGTGGCAGTTTCTCAAAGGCCCACATGTGAAGGATTGGTCTGAAGGCTGGCCCTACTGGAAGGTGGTAGAAACTTTTAGGAGGTGGAGCTCAGTGAGAGGTTTTTGGTGACTGGGGTATGCTCGTGAAAGGTATTGTGGGATGCCACTTTCTCTGTCCCCCTCTCTGCTTTCCAACCACCAGGAGGTAAACAGGCTCTTTAGTCGTGAGCTTCTGCTACCATGACTAAGAACCCCCAAAACTGTGAGGTAAAATAGACCTTTTCTAAGCTGATAATCACAGGTATCTGTTACCGTGACAGAAAGGTGATACATCTACTTAAAAAGACACTGACAATGATTATTTTATCTATGGTTTACTGAACATGTTGATGTATCATGAAGATACAGTTTTTTGTTTTGTGGTACCAGGGATCGAACTCGGGTTGTTGTGCTTACAAGGCAGTCGACAGAACCACTGAGCCAAATCCCTGACCAAGTTTTTTTATTCATGGCTTCTCTGAGATCTGAAAATTATTTCAAGGACTGTCCAGGTAAAAGGTTAAGAGAAGATCACACAGATGAATTGAGTCAGCCATTTCTTTTTTCTTTTTTGCTACCAGGGATTGAACTGAGAACCCTGAACTTGTGAGGCAGGCACAGTACCACTAAGCTTAATCCCCAGCTTTACCATTTCTTGATAATTGCCAGTAGAGAGAAATTTAATATACTAGTTTATATTTTAATATACATTTAAAATTTTCTTTATAGTAACAGCTATAAGACTATAAGAGCAACTATGCAAGGAAATAAAATTACCTGGATTTTAAAAAATGAACTAAAAAGTCTATACTGTTTGCAGCAGAAGAGAATGAAGCTGACTTCAGAAAGCAGCAGAGACAAAGCAGGAGATCCTGGAGGCTCCTAGCCTTAACCTCCTCCTCCCAAACATTTGGGACAATAAACCCTTTCTGTGCATAAGTTAAAGCTGCAGTTTTTTCATTTAATACCCAAAGGTGTTGATCAATGTGAACTGTAAACATTTATATTTATTTTCTTAACGTATAGAGGATTAACTTTGGATTTCACAAAAATAGAACGTTGACGCTGACACTGCTTGTTTTTTGGCATCAGGGATTGAACTCAGGGCCTTGTGTTTTCCAGGTAGGCAGTGGCACCTCTGAGCTAAATCCCTGGCCCATCACTGCTAACTTTTGACCATTTTCTAATATCAAATCAAACACTGAATATACCTGAGTTATAGTCTTTAAGCGCCCTTTTGCAGGAACAGAAACCAGGGATCCTTGGGATACTGCTGACTCCTGGCCCAAGGAGTTCCCTGAAATATCACTGGGTCCATAGTGAGTCTACTACCAGGACCCAGTCTAGAGGACACAGGGCCACTCTCCAGCCAAAGAGGACAAATTTAAGCAATCAAGTTTGAGGCACATCCATGAGTCCATAATCCTGCCACTTAAAAAAAAAATTCATTGTTCACCTCTGAGGGACTAACTCATTTATTCTAAAGACAAGAAAAGAAGAAGAAAAAAAAGAGTATTTTATTCTCTTTCTTACACAAATCATACCTCAACATAACCAAACAGCTGAGGAAAATATTTCTTGTCAGAGAACTCTAGCAATAAATGTAAAAGGAACAACCATAGTGCAGCCCCTAATGAAACAGTGAGTTTGGGGAATGATCATCGACATCTATGCCAAAACCATGAGGCAAAAAACTAATGGGAAACGCTACTGCAGATAGTTCAGCCAGCAACAGATCACAAAGCAGAGAGAGAAAGAAAACATACAAAATGCTTCTTGAAAAAGTGGGGGGCGAGTTTGTAAAATTCTTTTCTGTGCAGGGAAAAGATGCCAATTAAAAACAGAAAGGGCAGAAAGAATTCACAAGTAGTCTACACCCTAACTGCTCTTTTACATGAAGCCATCTTGGGTGACAATCTGAGTTTGAATTATAAGGGGTGCTGTGTATGATCCAGGTTACCTTCCCTAAATTGGTGAACACCAAGGACAAAAGTGCCTACCAGAAATATCTGTCAGCATCCAAAAGGCATGGCAAGGCTATTCCATATTCTTTTCTTTTCAGGAAAGCTCTGCCCTTCTCATGATATCCCATAGCTAACATAAGGGCCTAGGAAAGAATGTGGATTTTAAAAAACATTATTTTAAAATATAACAAAACAAACGGTATCAAAAGCATATTCATTCTAAGGAAAAACAAATAAGGTAAAAAAACAAAACAAAACACAAGAATAAAACAAAACAAAAAACCCCACAAAATTACAACTCAACCTAAACGCCAAAATTAAGAAAAATATAATCAGAGCTTGATTTCATTTAAATGCTAAAACCAAGCTATCCATTCAGTGAGCAGCACCTATCTCTATGTTCATCAGTTTACTTTAGGGTTTGTAGACCTAGAGCCATTTCTAGTATTCTAGTACACTTATTTGTTTGTTTGCTTTTGTTTTTTTGAGACAGGATCTCACTATGTACTTGAGACTGACCTGGAACTCACTATGTAGCCCAGGCTGGTCTCAAACTCACAGGGATCCTCCTGCCTCAGCCTCCCAAGTGCTGGGATTACAAGCGTGTGCCACTACTCCTGGCTCTATTACACTTTTTAAACATAAGCAGGCAGCCAGTTATTCTTGCATTCCTTTAAAAAAATCATTCACTTTCTATTTTCTTTTTCTTTTTCTTTTCTTTTTTGGTACCAGGGATGGAACTCCAGTCCTTGCACTTGTGAAGCAGGTGGTGGAACCACTGAGCTAAATCCCTGGCCCTTCCCTTTTTTTTTTTTGAGTGAAGGTCTTGCTATTGCCCCAAATGGTCTAGAACTGGACTTGCTGGGTGTGGTGGTACACGTCTGTAATTCCAGCACTCAGGAGGCTGAGGCAGGAGGATCATTGTGAGTTCGAGACCAGCCTGGGCTACATAGTAAGTTTCAGCGCAGTCTCAACTACATAGGGGGACCCTGTCTCAAAAAACAAAACAAAACAAAACAAAAACATAAAACTCCTGGGTTCAAGGGCCCTCCCACCTTGGCATCTGTAGCTGGGACTGCAGGTACAAACCTCCCCGCCCCCCATGGCTACTGTCACTTCCTACTGAAGTATCTATTCTGGCTTTTGGGGTTTTTTGTTGTTGTTGTTTTTTGAGACAGGGTCTCACTATGTGGTTCAGACTGCCCTGGAACTCACTATGTAGCCCAGGCTGGTCTCCACCTCACAGTGATCCTCCTGCCTCAGCCTCCCAAGTGCTGGGATTACAGGCATGCACCACCACGCCGAGCTGCCTTGCCATATTTTGCTTCCTAGATGATAAGGTGTGCAGTTTTGCTCTGCTACCTGCTGCCCCATCGTGTGCTGCCTGGACACAGCCCCACAGATATGGAGCCAACCAATCATGAAATGGCACTTCCTCAACTGTGAACCAAAATAAACCTTTTTTTCTTCATAAGTTTTGGTTTTGAGTATTTTGTTTTAGTAACAGAAAAGGTGATCCAAAAAATTTTCAAATTCATTAATTTTTTCAGATGTGAATTTGTATAAAATTCAATCATTTGACTTCATAATCTTTCCAAAAAGAGCTGGATGTCATCGTTCAATGTTAAAGAAAGAAGCAGATAGCCAGGCGTGATGGCTCACGCCTGTAATCCCAGCACTCAGGAGGCTGAAGCAGGAGGATCACTGTGAGTTGAGACCAGCCTAGACTACATCCATCGTGAGTTCCAGGGAAATCTCAGTCTCACCTCCCCACCAAAAAAAGAGAGAAGCAGATAAATAATCAACATTTAAAAAAATAAACTTCGATCCCCTGAAAGTTCAAACATCAATTCACATAGTTTTTTCACTAAAACTTATCTGTAATTCTTAATTTTAAACAGAATAATTTAAATAGAGAAGCCCACTCTAAATTTTTTTTTCTTTAGTTTTTTTTGAGATGGGGTCTTGTCAGGTTGGCCTTGAACTCACCATTTACCCTAGGATGGCCTCAAAATTGTGGTGATCCTTCTGCCACCACACCCAACTTTCAAATTATTTTTTAAAGACAGGAAAAAATTGCCAGGTATGTTAGTATACACCTGTAATCCCAGCACTCAGAGGCTCAGGCAGGAGACTGCAGTTTGAGCAGATCTCAAGTTTGAGCCTGGTTTGAACAACTTAGTGAGACCCTACCTCCAAATAAAAAATAAAAAAGGGCTGGTGGGACTGCAGTTCAGTGTGAAGGCCCTGGGTTCAAGTTCCAGTATCCGAAAAAAGTAATTTGACCCTTATCATTGGAGCACCACATTTAAGAAGCACCTGGGCCTGGCTTACAGAACAATAACAATCTGAGGCCATCTCTGCTCTGACTGCAGATCAAGAAGGAGGTACAGAGCCCCCAGAACTCACCTTCTTCTGTGACGGGGGGATTCGGATGGATCTGCCTGTTTGGTTCGCTATGTCTAGGTAGGGTGTAGTTTCGGGGTCCACCACCATCTCAGCTGTATCAAAACCAAAGGAACCCCATTAATTCAGTGACAGCATCAAGCAGCAGGGACTATGTGCAGATTGCCAGGATGTGGGGGACTCCACAAGATACCACTGCTACCTCGATGCAGCTGAGGAGGTGACAAGCCCAGAGTGCTGTGTACCTCTCTTTGCCAGGATCTCCAGTCCTTTCTTTGTCCTCTGAATTCGCTTTTCTTTTAGTTCGGCCTCACTTTGTTTCTCTTCCTCTTCCTGGGAGTTCTTCTTCACATCTTCTTCAGACTGCTTGAGTTCCAGCACCATCGCCTTGACATTGTGAGTCACTCCTTGCTCCTCCAGGCTTTTCCCTGTCAACATCAGAACTGTGTCTCATATAAAATTACTGGGTAAAAATAAATAAATAAAAAAATTAAATTACTGGGTAACAGTGCACTTCCTGTGTTAAATGGAATTCTTAAACTTGAACGAGCACTTGCAAACCACCAGGCCACATCATTGGTAGGAATGTGCTTAAATTTCATTGTGCAACTCTGCTACTGCTAAACAGCATTTAAATCAACCAGAGAAAACAGAACCAACTAAATTCGCCCTTCCCAATTTTAATTCTTACACTAAGATCAAATTGAAGCAACAAATAAGAATATATATAAAAAAAAAATCTATCACAGGGAGAGCCCCGTGCTAGGAAGTATTAAAGAACAAAAACAGTGTAATTAGTATACAAATTTTCTTACCCTCTAGTTGGAGAAATAAAAAGCCACCAGACAGGAAGCTACAGCACAGTATATACTATGAGAGGTAAACCCTTGTAGTGGTTAAAAGCCAAGACCACAGGTTCCCTCTCTGTTTAATTCTGGGACTCTGGGAGAACTACTTACCTTCTAGGACTCAGTTTCCTTACAGAGGATGGAAATATGGATAATAGTAGAAATAAACAGAAGGAAGGGATACAGTGACAAAATCAAAAGCTAGCTGGGCATGGTGGCGCATGCCTGAAATTCCAGCACTTGGGAGGCTGAGGGAGGAGGATTGCTGTACGTTCAAGGCCAACCTGGGATACATAATGAGTCCAAGGTCAGCCTGAACTGCGCAGCAAGACTCTGTCTTGGGCCAGGGATTTAGCTCAGTGGTTCTGCTGCATACCTGGCAAGTGAAAGGTCCTGAGTTAGATCCCAGGTACCAAAGCGGGGGGTGTCCCTCAAAAATAAATAAATGAAAGCTAGCTCTCCATGCAAAGGTTAGCTAGATATACAAACCTAATATAAATTACATTAAAGATGTACAAAAGCAAACAATGAACAAAATAAACCCAGATGCAAATAGATTTTTAAATAATAGTATTGTGTACTATAAATGCAAATTTTGAACACATTTCTGGAAAACGCTAACTGGATTTTTTGTTTGTTTTTTTTGTTTTTTTAAGATAGGGTCTCACTATGTAGTTGAGACTGACCTGGAACTCACTATGTAGCTCAGGCTGATCTCGAACTCACAGTGATGATCCTTCTGCCTCAGCCTCTGGAGTGCTGGGATTACAGACATGCATTACCACACCCAGCTCTAACTGGATTTTTTAAAAAAGCACTTGACAATCATCCTAACATTTATATATAAAAATAAAGATCCAAAAAACTTAAGTAAACTGCATACAGAAGACCCAAGAGGGAGACTCACCAGGTTTTAAGACTGTAACAAAGCCACAGTAAAGTAAACAGTGCAGGCAAACAGGACAAAAAAAGTATAGAAACAGGGCACAAGGGCAAAAGAAAAGGGGCATCAGCAAGCAAAGGGCAGGCTAGTCACTCTTAGCAAAGGACACTGGAAGAAAGCTGGGCATTTATAGATAAAGGGAATTTGGACAGATTAGAGCCCTTTGATACATCAAACTAATAATATACAAGTAAATGCAGAATATTCCTGTGGTCCTGGGGTTGGAGAAAGAACTTCTCTAACAAAACACAAATCATGAGGCAATGGATTTAATAACATCAAAATCCAGGACTTCTGTCCATCAAAATACCACAAGAAGACAGAGATGAGATGCCAGTGAAAACGTTTCTGTGACATGTGGCATGCACAATGTGACATGGCTACAGACAGCACTGGAGAGGACAGAGAGGTACATCAAATTCAGACAATGTGAACTTGATTCTTTTTTTTTTTTTTGATACTGGGAATCGAACTCGGGCCCTTGCACTTGCGAGGCGGAAGCACTGAGCCAAATCCCCAGCCCTGTGAACTTGATTCTTGAGGCTCCAGGAACCCACTGGAAACTGATGAGACCACAGTACCTGTCAGGACCGCTACAAGAGCTGATGTCTCTCTGTCCCTTCCCCTCCAGCCACCAGTGATCAAGACCCAAGCATGACAGGGTCAATGCCCTCCCACTTCCTTGAGAAAGACTCTGGTCTAAGGCTCATCTCTAACAGCAGCAATCGATATCTCGGGCACTGATACTTAGCAGCCTCTCCAGCCTCTACCCACTAAAGGACTGGAGCACATCTCCCCACCACCAGGTTCTCACAACCAAAAATGTCTCCTGATACCTCCAACTGTCCTATGAGGGCAAAATTGCCCCTGGTTGGGAACTGCAGCTTCAACATTCAGTGTGGGCTCTGTCCATCGTCAATGCTTAGGAGCCCCACCCGCAAATTTCTCAACTCTCATTCTGGTGCTCCAACATGAGGCTGGGAGTGCTGCCCCTCCTTCCCCACCCAGCCTTGGGGAGAACTTGGGAGCCCCGATCCTACTCTCACAGAACGACACCCTGAAAGGTTTTCAGCATCTCTCTTCCTCACCAGTGCAGAGCAGGCAGTGAACATGGACTAAAAAATTGTTTTCAAGTCGGGCGTGGATTACACGCCTGTAATCCCAGCTCTCCGGAGGCTGAGGCAGGAGGATCACTACTGAGTTCAAGACCAGCCTGGGCTACACAGTGAGTTCCAGAGCAGTCTGAACTACATACATAGTAAGACCCTGTCTCAAAAAACAAAACAAAAAAAATTGTTTTCTGCTTTATATTTTTCTTTTAGTGAATTTCTAAAACAATTGATTTTGGGTTATAAATGTAACAAAGCTAGAAAGTTATGAAGAGAGGAAAAGTGAGAAAAAAATGCAAAATCATTATTTTTTGTATTAACTTGATGGAAAATTCTGCAATTTTTTTTTTCTCCCATAACATACCTAGTTGAAGCAGTTTCTTATTTATGACAATCTTGATGTAATTTTCTTGAAATCCAAAGGTTTCAGCTATTCTGTAAAATAAAACCAGTAAAAACTGCAGGAAGGCAAATTTATTATTATCCATTAAAACGATTTTATTCAACACATTCAATTTACTCAGAAACTCACAGTTTTTAGGCTTCTTGCCTCATCAGCTCACCTTGCAACATGGCAAGGCCCTTTGTCTCTACTCTGTGTTACTATGAGTTTCCTCGTACAAATGGGACTACTAGGCTGTTTCTCAGGGGAAAATCCGCCTTATACCTTCTGGGGTCTTCTCGGAGAAGCCCATAGCAGGACACCAAATGAATGGTGCTTCCCAACTCCAACTCTAACATCCCTGATGCAGACCCAAGAAGAGAACAGGCAATCAACTAAGAAACACGGTGACTGCCAAGCCCCAGTGGTGCTCAAAACACCAATTAAAAACACACTGAATCGCCAGGTATGGTGGTGCATGCCCGTAACCCCAGCACTCAGTAGGCTGAGGCAGGAGGATCACTGTGAGTTCGGTACCAGCATGGGCTACAGAGTGAGTTCCAGAACAGTATGAACTAGATAGTGAGACCCTGTCACAAACAAGCAAACAAACAAACAAAAAAACACACCAAGTAGGCAGACATTCAATTCTCACAGGTGTTTATCCATTTTCTTGCTAGATTTTTCATCCTGGAATTTGGCTTAAACACTTGCTCTTTTCTGAATGAATAAATTAGTTGCCAATGAAAAGAAATGCCCAAAATCCCAAGTAGATAAAATAATCTATCAGGGTTTTTGTGGTGACAGGCACATATTTATTTATTTCACAGATGGGACAACAGCTTGAAGTCAGCTAAAACACTTTGCTGAAGGGCACAGCAAGCTATCAGGGCACAAAGGGATGGAATTAAAAAGTAACATGATGAATCCCAGGCTGCTTCTATACCCCATCCATTCAATCACACACACACACCAAGCACCTCCTTTGTGCCAGGCCTACAGCCTCCATCCCATCAAAGTCTCGTGGAGAAGCAAGAAGCCACTCAGCTACCACCACACACCCAGCACAGAGTCATACTTTCCTCTAAGGTGAGGAGAGATGCCCTGCCGGGCTAAGCACAGTCACAGGAATCAAGTGAGCCCATGGAGAGCAGAGCACATACTTACTTTGACCGGAGGTCTCTGCCACTGATGTGCAGTCGGGTCTCCAAAATGTTTTTCTTGTCCTATAAGAACAAAAACAAAGCGTACTAAGATTTAACCCTAAGGATAAAAGATACAGCCTGCCTGGAGAAGCCTGCTGAACATAAGCAGGTTGACCTGGAGACCTGAATGTCCTTGAGAAGGCAGCAGTGGGGCTTGTCACATGACCAGCCATTCTTACAGTCAAATTTCAGAACACTATCATTCAGCTTCCCTTAAACACACACCAAGCCCTGCACTTCCCTTCCCTTCCCTCTTCTTCCCAGTTCCCTGCAACTACTAATGTATTCTTTGTCTCCAGATTTGCCTATTCTGGACATTGCATAGAAACAGAATCACACAACACGTGGCCTTTGACTGAGCATGTTTCTAGGCTCACCCATGCTGCAGATACACCAGGATTTCATTCTTCTTTACTGCTAAACAGGTTCCTATGGTACAGGTGTATCACACTTATTTACCTGTTCATTTGCCAAAGGACATTTGGGCTACTTCTACCTCCCTCCCTCCCTCCCTCCCTCTCTCCCTTCCTCCCTCCCTCTCTGTCTCTCTTTCTTTCATTTTTTTTTGGTACCAGAGATCAAATTCAGGCCCTTGAACTTGCCAGGCAGGCAGCGGAACCACTGAGCTAAATCCCCAGCCCCACTTCTATCTTTTGATGGTCATGCAGCACCCCTCAGAATATTCATATGCAGGTTAGCTGGGGATTTAGCTCAGTGGTTTTGGCACCTGCCTCACACACACAAGGGCCCGAGTTCGATCCCCAGTACCAAAAAAAAAAAAAAAAAAGATATACCATACATATTCAGGCTGTTACATACACACTTGTTTCTTCTGAGAGGCACTGCTGAGTGCCTGGCCACAGTGACATAGCAATGTGGGCTATTGATGACACGGTCCTGAGATGAGGTGGCCCCACCAGGCCATCTTGGCCTTGCTTGAGCATGCCAAACTCTGGCCTCCAGAGTAGGAAAAGGATGAATTGCTCTGAGATGTGTCCTGCTGCACAGAGTTCTACAAAACATGGTGTCCTCTTTGATGCCCCAGTATTTTTAACCATTAAACTAGGAAGGGTTAATACCATGACACATGGCTCTGTGACATTTAGAAGGTCCAAGACAGTTACCTTGGCAATGGGCCAGTGTTAAAAGTCCACAACATCAAGTCACTTCAAGAAACTTTAGCTTTGAATGGCAACTTTACAAAAACAATTTATTTGATCACATCAGTAAGTACTGGTTCCTACGTAAATCTGGGGAAATTACTCACTTTTTTTAGTCTTGAAGGTAAAAACACCTCAATTGTAGCAATTCCAGTTGTTTTGTAATTTTCATTTCCTGTTCCACGCTCAATTGCTTTGCAACGTATTTCTTCTATTATCTTTTCTACTTCATCTTCACAACATCCTAGTTTGTTAGAATACCTCTTAGCAAGATCCTATGAAGAAAAATCAGGAACACAGCTCAATACAAAAGCAATGCCAAAAAACAAAACAACAGTGAAATGCAGAAAAAGGCACAAAGGAGCTAGGGCAATCAATTTTAATGAGCACAGGTAGCTCTGCTGTATTGAAATCCAGCCACAGCTCTTAGGAGCCAGGAAAAAAATAAAACACCTACAATAGTAAAAAAGGATCGATGGACAGAAAGAAAATAACTGGGACTATTGTAGGGGGTGAAAAACAAGGATAGATAGACTGACTCTTGTGCCCATAATACATTAAGAACAGTGAACTGTTCAATTCCTCTACAGGGGAAGGGAGGTAAATAGAGAAACATTCTAATTTCAAATTCGTGAGAACAAAATGGGTTAGGCTCAAACAACTTACTCAAGAGAAAACTCAAAGTTACTGGTTGTAAAAATTATTTACCAAAGAGAGGTTTAGAATTTAGAAAGAAAACTCAAAGAGTTAAAGAGCCTGAAAAAGGATGTGAACCAGTTATTTTACTTAACGGTGAAGTCAGTATGTTTTCTCCCTCCAAAATACTTGCTCTGGGGGCTTAATGTCTCAATTTCATAAATGGCAAACAATAAAAAACCAAGCCCATGATTTTATTAAATTTATAATACAATGTGACAGACTGCCCCAATGATTATGTCCAAAGCAGGTTGTAAGCAGTGCATGCTGTAAAGACTTAACCTCGCAACTGTCTTATTTGTAAGTGAGTGTGGCCAAAGCATATGAGACAACACACAGCTGAGGTCAGAGTGACTCTTACCCAAATTTCATTCCCAGCTTAACATAAGAATGCTTCATCTCTTCTTTTATAAGCCTTGCCTGCATCGGTCAGCAGCATATCCTTAGCAACCACACAGAGCCCCCTCACCCCAACCTATCAACAATTGTGTCACCAATAAATGTTGACAGTTTGGCTAGCCATGCCAGTTCCCCATCTCGTCTCTATGTCTTTCTTCTTTCTTCTTCTTCTTCTTCTTCTTTGTGTGTGTGTGTGTGTGTGTGTGTGTGTGTGGTTTTTTGAGACAGAGTCTCACTATGTAGTTGAGACTGTTCTGGAACTCACTGTGTAGCCCAGGCTGGTCTTGAACTCGCAGCGATCCTCCTGCCTCAGCCTCCCGAGCGCTGGGATTACAGGCCTGCGCCATGACACCCAGCCTATGTCTTTCTTCTTGCCATGTGTCAAAGCCCTGAACAGGAGATTGGGACCCAGTGCGGGGATCTCTGATAATAAAATACTATGTAGCACTTAAAAATGAAGAGTAGGTAAATATTTACAAGAAAGATGCTGCTCATGACATATGTAAAGTTATAAAGCAAATAAGAATATTTTACTTTAAAAATATTATTTATAAGCCAAAACAAACACACAATGTTGATCTCATACAATGTTGGTCTCATAAAATATAATAGAGCTAAAAATCCCTATTGCCTGGGGATGATGTAACCATGTTGATACCACAGTGTAACACACTACTTGAATCTGTGGTAATGTTGGGTCAACAAACCTACTGTACAGCAAGTCACAGAAAAGTAGATACTTGCTCATCATTAATGCTTCTGGTGACACCCAAAGTTTATATGGCTGTGCCTGGCAATTTCTGGTGACTTTAAAATCTTACTAGCAAGGAGATTTATAACACTGCTAATTACTTACATATTAAAAGAAAATATACCTTTAATGCCAAACCAACTTCTTTATTTTCATCCGTATATGGAGGTTTCCAAAGTTGAATCTTGTCTTCCCTTAAAAACTGGGTCAATTTTGCTTGAAGATATTTCTTTTGTGCCATCCTTGAAAACAAATTTGTATATCAATAAAATCCCAATCATATTTTAAACCAGGCGTGGTGGCTCATGTTTGTAATCCCAGCACTCGGGAGGCAGAGGCAGGAGGATTGCCATAAGTTCGAGGCCAGCCTGAGCTACATAATAGGTTTAGGGCCAGCCTGAACTACAAAGTGAGACCTTGTCTCAAAAAAAAAAAAAAAAACTTACCTAACATATTGAGGTGCTACAAAAAGTAGAACTTCCCTCCACTCCCCAGTTTAATCTAAATCACTAAAGTTTTAATCAGCTTTAAACTTTTCTAAATATACATACTTAAATAATTCATAACATGTTCACTGATATACTATATATATATTTGGGGGGGGGGTTCTGGGGATCAAACTCAGGGACCTGTGCTTGCAAAGCAGGTGTGGCACCACTGAGCTAAATCCCTGGCCCTACATTACATTTAATATAATATATTTTAAAGTTGTTAACATATAGCAAAGAAAATTACACTTTTCCATCTCTTACTCTATTATTTATTCATTTGTTTTTTGACTCAGGGTCTTGCTGTGTAGTTTAGGTTGGCCTTGAATTCATAGTTATTCTCCTGCCTCAGCCTCCACCCAGCCCTATTATTTTGTTTTTGGTTTGTTTGTATGTTTGTTTTGGTACCAGGGATCAAACTCGGGCTCTTGCACTTACAAGGCTGGCAGTGTGAACCACTGAGCCAAACCCCCAGCCCTAGCCCTATTCTTTTGTAATCTAAGAGAAAAGATGAATCCCTATAGTAATGCATTTCTTTAAGCAACTCAATATAGAGCTTGTAAATTCTCCTGTACTTTGGTTAATCTAACACAAAACAATTAAAAAAAAAAAAAACACCTGGTAGCTGAACACAATGAAAACTAGCTTGAACTGTAAATTGGCAATAAAAATATTCTCTAGATCAGAATGTATTAAATTTAAAAACTACAATAATAATAAGGTCTGGGGATTTGGCTCAGTGGTTCCACCACCTGTCTCGAAAATGCAAGGACCAGAGTTCGATCCCTGGTACAGAAAAAAAAAAAAAAAGTAAAAAACTACAATAATAGATGAGTTTTAATAAGAACATGTGATAGCACAGTTAGTAAGCCACCTACATAAACTATTCAAGAAGTACAACTCCAGCTGGCTGTCATTTTACAAATGGGAAAATCCAGCCTTAGGTTTTTAAAAAGATCTGGAAGAGGTCAGAAAATTAGGCAATGTGCAAAACTTTAAGCACTGAGACTTGTGCCTATGACAGCGCTCTACACCTTGTCACACAATGCCTTGATGCTTGTCTGCCCCAAGTGTGTGTGCAATGTCTCTCTTCCAGAGCCACAGTGGAGCTGTCCAGGCATCCTGCACTAGCACAGTCATTCAAAAGGATATGTGAGGTTGCTAAGAGACAGAAGAGGCAACCAGCAGGTATTGTGCAGCATGTTAGGATCTACCAAATCACACAAATAGAAAAAAAGTTAATAACTTCTGAATGATCACACAAGTTCTAGAGTGAAAAAAAACCATACAAACTGATATAATCTAGACAAGTAACTTTTTTCCCATTCCCTATGTGCTCAAACCCAATTCACCTGATTTTTAAACCAAATGTAGTGGCTTCAGTATTCTATAAACTAATTTTTTAAAAAGTCCTAAGCTGTTTTATGGGAATTGGGAAGGCGGGGAGAAGTAATCAGAACATGGAGGAGAAAAAGGAAGAAGGAATAAACACAATGAGGGTGCTGAGCACCCATGAAAGAATGAAAGATTTTCAAGCACTAAAACTGCTTCTCATAGCAAAGCACACCAGTGCTTAGGAACATCAGCTTTTCAAACAAATAATTTAAAAGACCACTTTATGGGCCGGGGATTTAGCTCAGTGGTTCCGCGGCCTGCTTCCTAAGCGCAAGGTCCATTGTTCAATCCCCCATACCAAAAACAAAAACAAAAAAACACTTTATATACTACTCATAAATCTTCGGAAATTCTAAGTGAGACATCTCAGTAAAACGGTCAATCCGGGGGGCGGGGGATGCTTATGTCAATGGGCTGCTTATAGGAGGAGCCCGGCTATTTGGAAGACTGAACACACAGAGACCCTAACCAAGGTACTACCTGAAAAAGGAACCTGAGTGTCAGAAGTCCAGGCTGTGTCCCACACTCCAGGGAGCAAAAGAACAGCTCCAGAGTCTACACCGGGTATACGATACAATGTTTAAAAAATTAAACTATTGAGAAGCTGGTTGTGACAGCACACGCCTGAAATCCCAGCACTCAGAAGACTGAGGCAAGAGGATCGCCTTTGAGTTCGAGGCCAGCCTGGGCTACACAGCGAGATTCTGTTTAAAAAAATTTTTTTTTAATTCCTGTCTTGTAACCAACAAAACTTCAATCGTAGACAACAAAACATGCGATGACACATGGTAGTCAAGTTCTTAAAAAGTTTAACAAACTGTTTTCGGGTTCAATCAGGGAACTGTAACTCTCACCCAAACGCGGGTCTTTCCATTTTTCACTTTCACTTTTGTAAGGAACAGACCCAATCCACCAGTACATTCAACGACACATGCAAACACACCTATATACCCAAAATACGTTACATTTTCACTTAAAGAGTAATAAAAGATCCTGTATTAAAATGAGGACAGAAGGAGGGCAGAAGGTCGGAGACCAGCTGTTTTCCGCGCACACAACCCTCCGGTTCCGACAGCAGAGGCTTCGCACCCTCGGGACGAGCTAACGACCCCCACCCCGTGGGGTCCCTCCGGTCTCCCCCGGCCCGGCGCGGGGAACCCGAAGCCGGCCCCCCAAGTCCTCTCAGTCCGGCCCGGCCGGA